TATTTGTGTCACCCTGGGCTGGGACGGGGGCTGCACCGGAGGAGTGGAGAGCTCAGCCAATGGAGGATGCCAAAAACATCAAAACAGCCATGTTTACAGATTACCCAAAGGGAAAGCAAATTACAGCAATTATGCAGGCTGTGGGAATACTGATATCAGCATACCTGCTATTTTACCCAGAGACTACTTTTTATGAGTCTAGAAAACATACAAAACAACACACTCAATTTGACTTGATGGCCAAACTCTCAGCAAAATGATAGGATTTAGAACAAAGCGCTGCACAACAGATGCATATAAAACAACATCTTTCAAGGGGATCGGCTTGTGTGTGTGTGTGTGTGTAGTTCACGTCCAAAAAGTATTTTTCCTTTGTTTTGTTTTTTTTTTTTAAATATCTGCATATATCAGGGAGGAGGTAATAATGATGTTGAACACCGTCTCTGTCTCTTCTTGACCGAACATTGGCAATGACTCGTTCTCCTTAAACACAGCAATTTGTTTTTTCCGGAAAGCTCTTTGACTTTAGAGCAGTTATCTGGTGCATCAGCACAGAGACAACATGCAGAGGAGTCTTATCCAAATCACAGGCCTTTGTTTGCAGCTGTCATGACATATTCATGACTGGGGCCATAATAGTCAGATTCCTGTTAAATCCCCCAGGGAGTGCACAGAGAATGGTGTCACATCCAATTACTGCAGCACACTGTGGAGGTAAATCAAAACTGGTGCCATGAACTCTGGTATCTGCACATGTGAGCCTGCACACGAACACACACAAGCAAGACTATAGTTTATACCAGCATTGATAGAATATTGGAAAACACATTCCACCGGTTACGTCGAGGTCATGTATGGATTATGTGGAGAGATGGGATTGGCTGGAGGCTGTTGGCTGCCATCTCCTCAAAAAACAAATCGACAAACATACAATCTAATACGAGTACGTGAGGCAGACAACGCTTAGTCAAGATTTAAAATGTATAGATTTTGCTGGCTGGCTGGGTGGCTGGCAGGAAGTTGAAATTGCAGATTATTTGACCTTCATTGGTGGGGAAACAACCGGGTCAGAGTCTGGGTTCACAGTTCGCAGACACCTCGTCTTAAGCACCAATGCTGTGATGATTTTTCTGCAGAGTGAAATCGATGCCTTTGTCTTTTTTCCTCCACAGTGTTCTTTGGAAGGCCCAGTGGTTTGGTGGTTGGAGGGTATCTCGGCACTGCGTAGCCCCATTTCACCCTGGAGCGGTGCAAAGCTCCTGCCCAATAAAACAGGCTGCATCCCCAGGGCCCCTCCCTCAAGCCTCCAGTCAGCGCTTGTTTTTGCACCATTTATTTAGTGTGACACATCTCCAATTAAACTGTGGAGGCTGCTGCATTCCCCCCATAACTACCTCTTATACCTCCCCATAGACTTTCTGTCACACCGAGAGTGCGGGTATGAGAGAGTGAAAGGGAGAGTTGGAGAGGGAGACAGAGGGAGAGAGAGAGAGAGAGACAGAGAGAGAGAGCGATCACATCTTGCCTGCCAGCTATGATCACAATGTCATTTTCCCCTCAGTGCTTAGGAGCCTCCTCTGAAAGGTGCCCTGAATTATAATTATCAAAATATTGAAAAGGATAATCATCCTCTTAAGTGACGCTGCCACTTTTTTAATCTATTTGCCTCATCATTACACAACAAACACGGAGAACTGCTCTTCCATTGGATTTCTTAAAGGAAACGTGTGCAACAGTGTTCACTGCCTGTTTACCATCCTGCAGGAGGTGCTATAATCATAACTTGAATGCCCTGTTTTCGGCGAGTGAAGTGTGCAGGTGCAACAGTACTGTTCCATTAAGATCTGAGTTCTTGACTCAGATCTTAATGGAACCAGCTTTCCAGTTATGCTTTACTTCAACTTTGTAGCACTATTCTTGTATATCAAATAAATAAATAAGACATACAAGTTTGTCAAACAACTCTCCATAACGTGATGTATTCATGCATTCAGTACTAAGGCACATCTTAGTGTTTGGTTGTTTTTTAACTTGCTGGTATTATGAAAGAACAAATCTAACAGTGAGCCTTGCTCCTGTTTTCACCCTGATGTTGAAGAAACCACCTGATATTGTTGACCTACTTTAATAAAGGACTCATTAGGGCAATGAGACACAACAATAGTGACCAGTGGGCAGCCGGTTCTAGTGAAAAGCTGTTATGGAGTACAAGGTCGCTGGATTGTCACATGTTTTTAGGTACAAGTATTTGAATTAATCATCGGCCGCTTGCATCTCCATATGTTAACTTCGTCAACATGTTATTCTTCTCTGGGTTTTAATACAAGATGTGGATCCGTTCCACAACTCCTACTAATACTCCTAATACTTAACCAACCTCCACAGCCATTCACTTCTACACCTACACATGTTCGTATACACAACCAGACGCTCTCTGTTACGTCTCATCAATCGAATATTTGAAGGAGATCTTACATTGGAGCTAAGTGTCTCCTTGCCACCTCTTCATCCTCCCCTGACGGCCCCAGACACAGTCACAGGAGGAGTGACTTTGTCCGACCCCAATACCGTCTGCAAGAGCACAGCTGAGGGCAGCAGCTGCCAGGGAGGACTGGTAGGGGAGCGCCCAAAACGCCAGCTCCGCCAAGCAGCAGGGCCAGAGGGAGCCCCAGTGGCAGCTGGGAAGGGTGGGGCTGCCAGCTGTGGAGCAGCAGGACGGTGGGGTGACTAGGAGATGCCACTACACCTGAGCAGTATACACAACTGCGTACACAGGCATGCACAGGTTCCAAAGGTATACTCAGAAACTTCTCACTACGCTCTTTATTTTCTAAGCACCTGCCGGCTGCACTCGCACACACACAAACGCACACACACACTTATCATTGGCACCAAGGCAAGGAAAGCAGTCTGTGGCCCTCTTAACACCAGCAGCACTCTCCCATCACGTGCTCCGGCCGCACATCTGGCGTACCATCTGTGTCACTCCCCCCAATGTGACAGGTAGTCCCTCTCTCTCTCTGGAGGAAGCAGAGAGGGAGAGAGGGACACAGAAGGTAATTTTGGGTGTAAATGTGCTCTGGATCTCTCTGGATGCATCTGGACAGAGCAGACACACCGCTGAGCAGGGCAGGGTCATTATCAGTCGGAAACGGACGGTTGGACGGCGGATGGAGACAAAACAATTATATCATACTGACACTTCACGACAGCGCTGATAGTGCATCATATTTGTTGGCGCTAGTGGTGATGATAAGGTCAATGATGTCGGGTTGAAAACAAAACAACAACACTGTGTGAGAAAGTCAGAGTTTTTCCAAAACATTTCTGCAACAAACAACATAAAATACCTAGGATTTCTTTTTATTCATCTTCACATACACACCTCCACTGCAGTACCTGTTGATGACCTCATGTCTACAGCATCACTATCCAAAAGGAAAACCTTTGGTGTCAGCTCAGAAAATAGGTCACTTTTCAAACGTGCCTTTTTCTGAAAAATTGTTCAAGAATATTTTGTTTCTGCGAGGGGGAAAGAAAATCCTGAATAAATAATGCTGTTGTGAAATGTTCTTCTGCTGTTAAAGAATTCCAAATAAATTGGAATTATCTGAATAATTCCGTGTGTAAATAACACAAAGTTGACATATGTAAAGATTCTAACAATTTATTTTAATGTACAGTTATACAATGCCATGACACAAATGTAACCATTTAGACGAGGTGGAAAAATGAAAAATATTACAACAGCCATATTTATATATATATATTTATAAACAACACTAGAGGACGTGAAAACCCTGCTGTTTTTGCTGCTGTACATATGGGATCCTTAAAGATATTAGAGACAGATATTAAGCCAGTGATATAAAACCACCTACTTTGAATCCATTTTCAGAACATTATTTTCACATCTTATGTTACATATTTAACAGGTACAATCTTTATTATTCACACACACAACACTATTTAAATGACATTATTATAGACATTTATTCAAAGGGGGAAATGGAGTCCAGCATCATCAAGGCAGACAAAGTAGAAAGATTTGACCCAAATATTTATTCAACTCAACGTCATCTTTACCATTCACCACTTTGCAGTCAATGGACAAGACGGAGGCAAAAAAAAGGTTCCAGAGCACTATCATACATTTTGCAGTGGCATCAGCTACATGTCAACGCATTGAGCACATAAGTTAAAATAAAGACAAGTGGCCTTTATTGTAGTCTAAAAATCTACAAAAAATTGGAATTCCATATTGACTTTCGTTGGCTGAAAAAAAAAAGAAGAAAAAAATACTTACCACAGAATGTAGAAACTATTACACATTTGGCCTGCATGTCACTTCATTTTCTTTTTTTATACACAGAAACAATTCAAATGAAGAGTCATACGTTTTCAATACAACACAGACTTTTGAAAACAAAATGTGCTGAACGGGATGGTCGTTAAAAGGTCATTAAAAAACACTGACACGTACACGTGAAATTAACAACACAGTTGTAGTACTAGTTTCCGATGTCTTATACAAAGTTAGCTTGGTCTAAAAAGCATTAAAATATATTTTTACATCATCACATACATCGAGACGTGTACCATGGCCTAGCAAGAAGTTTGCCCGGTGCATTATTTCACATCCAACCCCCCCTCCTCACTCACACATACACACACACACACACACACACACACACACACATTTCACTAATGCTGGCATTATTGCTTCTTATAAACAGGGAGCTGATGGATGGATAAACAATGCACCGTGGTTTGTTAAAACTCTACACTTAACACCATCTCTGATATCCAAATAAACGGTTTGCTCGTTTTCACAATCTGCAATGCTGAAGGATAAGGCAGTCCATTTTTTTTCTTTAAGGCATTGCTGCTTTGAGACAGAGTGGACCAGAGGACGAGTCATGGACTTGAGTCAATTCACAGGATACAGAGAAATCACTTTACAGATGTAGGGGAGGTGGGCAGAATATATCCTGTAAGTCTTTTTTTTTTTACCATTGTATGTTTGTGTCTGAGAGAATCTCAGTGAGCTGCAACCATCATTAAAGTCTGCTGAGACACTGACCAGAGGCCAGCACTCACACAGAGACCAGAGCAGAGACATGTGGGTCCCAGTGACCTTCTCTCACTGTTGGTAATTCCCATACTGGCCCTGTAGAGAGAGGCCATAGATACACATTACTTCAAGTAAAAGCAAATATTCTTAAATCTTAACTGGGTTTAAAGTAAAACACCTACACCTGTAGTTGTAACAGTAGCATACTGCAAAACCTAGATTTAGGATGCATTTACTCATGTTGGCCAGCAGATGGCACTATGGCCTCGTCTTGCAGACTGCAGCATCAGTACATGACAATACTTCTGCTATTTACTAAGACAATTTAAATACTACAGGGATGCAGTAATTACAACTTAAGGAAATAAAAAAAGGAAAAAACAATAACAGTATTATACACAATAATCTACTATACAGTACATCAAATCCTCATCAGAACCAACCAGGATGCAGTTAAAGCAGGTAAGTCTTTGGTATTTTCACTCTCCAGGTAACGCATGCTGTGTATGTGGACCTCATAAATTACTATATGACACCTGGTTAATAATAAATTAAGGAAACAAAAAACAGAAATCTAAATAAATTAGGGCTGTCAATCAATTTAATCACAGGGTAGCTGAGGATTAATCATGAATAATCACAATCAAACTTTAACGGGTAAATCATGATTAATCAAGGAGAATTGATTTTTTTTTCTGAACACTGCTGTAACAGAAAGACAAATAACAGCAGTGACAGGGTTGTTTTATTTGTGACTGATCCAAATAATGGAATTATTCCTGTCAAGATTCTGCAATGGTATAATTCATAGAATTGGTGGGTTGTTGTAGTCAACATTGTATTGTGCCTCCTAAAGGTGGCTTGTAGAACCTGTAGACAGTTGCAATTTTAATCAATCAGTCTCCGCACAATCCATTTGACAGTTGTGTCAGTCACAGACTTATTTACTGCCCTGCGCTCAGTGAGGCTGATCTGACACTGTGTGCAAATAATAACCTGCGGATGTAAGCATAAGGACAGTAGAATTATAGTATGTATCATGCATGTCACTCTGCCATTGTACTTAAATTGATTAAAAACTATGATCGGACTGCTACTACTAATGCGATTGCCACGTTAATGTCGACAGCCCTTTTACTAAACCAAAGGAGAAAAAAAAGAGAGATGGAGGATAAGAAAAAAAACAGAAAACAACAAATGTGAAATAAAAATATAAAAACCAAAGCCACTTGTTCAAACGTCTAGACTGAGGTCTTCACAGCAACCATTACCTTTGCTTCATACAGAGCTAGTCAGGGGTTCAAATCCCTGGGTCTTTTATCCTCATGTGTCCCTGAGTATTCAAAGATAAAGAAATCAAATAGTGGCTGTGGCCCCCGTAAGAGACCACAGAATATACAGGGCATCTCCTTCTAGACAAGAGAGCAGTCAACATTCACTGAGGAAAGAAACATTCGCATTTCACTCGAAACGCTGCTTACATGTAAAGTTAAAAACATATATTGCAACTTACAAATATGACTGTCTTCTTGGGGATTTTTTTTTCTTCAAATATTTTAACCCAACATTATAAAAGCATGCACCATATTATTACTCGGTAAGAGCCAAAATATATAAAACTGACAATAATAAACATGAAAAACGCTACAAACTACAGCCGTGTAGACGACTTCCTGCCATGGTCCAGTGCTGTGCATTTACTCACTTGGTCATAACCGTACGGACGCTGCTGCTGGCCCTGCGGGGGTCCAGGCTGAGGAGGGCGATACCCTCCATACTGCTGCCCCTGCCCCTGAGGATAATTGGGGTACTGTCCAGGAGCATTTTGAGAAGGCCCTAGAATGAAGAAAAAAAAAAAAGAAAAATTCTAAAATGTCACCCTATAAATGTAACAAAGCAAGTGAGGCTGGAAAACCAGACTTCATTTAACCAGTAAAAAAACAAATTCACTTCATCAGCTGTGGTACGCTGCGGCCATGTTTATGAGCAACGTGAAGGAGCGGGAAAAGGTTGACAAGGTCTGGAGTCAAATGAGGCCCATGTTGCATTGTTATGTGCTCATAATGCTTTCCACCATCGAGCATTAGCTCGTGGGGACCTGCAGGAGAGAGCATTTGCACGCGTGCCACAGGGAATTCACCTCGTAGCCTTTGCCTCTCTGCTAGCTCATTACTGACATGAGCTCGGGTTTAGACAGAGGATGAGTGATGGAAAGTTTCAGCAAAGAAAAAAAAAACGAAAAAAAAAACAAACGCAAGAGCCTAAGGAGGTGCGAGTACTGTACATGAGCCGCAAGTCAAATTTTTCTCCTAAACATTCAACACTTCATTAAAATGCAACTTCACCAGAGTCTGAAAAGAAACTGACAAAAGTTCAACTTTGAGGTAAAAAAAATTAGCTCTGTAGGAATTTGTTGCCAATTCTAATATAAGGATTTGCTTCATTTCCTTTCTACTGGGAATATATACAGTTAAATTTTAAAGAAAAAACACAACCCTCACAAATGAACAACTTTAATATCAGAGCAACCAAAGATTTAAATTAAACTTGAATAAAAACCTGTTGGAATTATTGAAGCTTTGCAATAGAATATAATCTAGCTTAAGCAATTTTTTCCCCATTTCCCAAAACTGAGAGGAACTCAAAACATCCCCAGATAACAACAAATTATCTGATGAAAGAAATTAACAGCAATACCAAAATTGTTCAGACGCAAATAAATTATTTGTCTTATTTTGTTTTATAGCCTTGTATATAAATGAACTAACATTTATAGTTATCTGATCTGCAGAAGTAAACACAAAAGTGATGAATCCTACAGGGCTTTTAATGGACATGCCCATCTTAGAGTGTTTCCGCAGGGCATTAAGACTGATCTGACTATGGTCCCCACGACATGATGAAGGCATGTAAATTCAGCGTATAAACTCACCGTAGCCTTGCTGCTGCGGCGGGTAGCCCTGTTGGCCTGGGTACTGCTGTTGTGGAGGGTAGCCCTGCTGCTGGGGTGGGCCTTGCTGGTATGCTTCCTGTTGCTGTCCATACTGGGCATTACCTTGGGGGGAGGGGGGGGCGATACCAGGCAACATCAGCAATACGTTGATAAATTGACAGCAGCGAAAATTAATTTTGTGGACAGCATTTTAACTTGATGCTGTACCATTAAAAACATGTTATATTTTGCAAAACACCCCACTGTGCAGTCCACTCCAAGTTTGGCAGATACCCATAACATAAGATCATGTTTATCCATAAAAGTAGTTTTAGGTACTGTCTTAGAGTGAAGTGAAGACAGAGACAATATCATCAAATATTATCTAAAGCGTAAAAAATGTTGCAGAGTTAAAGGGCAACAGGTCAGAAGAAAATAAAACTGAACATAATTCACCAGGTTTTGTATAAAATGTCTTTGGTGTAATAGTAAGGAGTTCTTATGTTAAAGAGTAAATGAACCGGCTTAGGTTGACATCTGTTGAATTTTTTTGACCGACAGCGCCTCAATGTGGAGAAAAAAAAAAAGAAGCAAAATAAATACAGTGAATCTGGTAAAACAATATCAAGGAATGAAAATGAAAAACAACACATCTTTAATAAACCTTCAAAATGGCACACAAAAAGTGGTAAAAACCTCTTCAGCACAAAAAAAAAAAAAAACATGGTATGAAAGGACAAAGGGGGAAAAGGTGAAGTCAGCAGAGGAAATAAACAAAAGTAAATGTTAATTGAACGAAGAAAAAGCTGTTTGATACAAATCTTACAGTGAGGTGACTGTGAAATAACCTTCTGTGTAATGACAAAGTACAGTACTCTACCCATGCATTTAGGTAGTACTATACATAATAGACCATGTACACTGGAAGTTTCCCATTTTTTTTAATTTCACGTGAATTTGACTCAATTAATTGTTCCGAGAACTTTTTTGTAAATGCATACACCCAAAGGTTGAGCACCATAATACATATTTTTATTGAATCTTGGGACAATATATGTATTTTTTTTTTATTTAAAACAATTATCTGATTCGATGGCCCAGAAAATAATGAAGAAACTGCTGTCTTTGATTTGGTTTCAGTCTCTTGGCATCATTTGTGTTTTAACACAACTCCTGGGTTTCTTGGGTTGTTTAATTTTTTTTTTGTCTCCATGTTGTTGGAGAGTTCTCCTACCTTCTGAAGCTCCCTGTCCTGCGTGACTGTATTGGTCCCCATAGTAGTCTTCCTGCCCTGGGTACTGCTGAGGGGGTCCTACATACACATACACACAACATACACACAAGTGGATTCAAGGTGTTGTTGAACTGGCTGTGTAAGAGGAAAAGGAAAGTGGGATGGATTCCTTCTCGCTACTGCTAGCTTTAAAGCTTTCTCATGGTCATGTGATTGAGGGGTGGTAAAGGAAAATTAGATCTCTTGCATGGAGATGTCTGTGGGATATAAAAATAGAGAGAGAGTTGAGGGGAATAGGAAAAAGAAATTCAGAAGGGAGAAGGAGGGAAAAGAAAAACCAACACTCGTCCTGACACACTTTGACTCGTGTACCTTGTTGAGGAGGTCTGTAGGGAGGCATTGGCCTCTGCCCCATGACATGGTTTCCTTGGTTAACCTGACCCATCATGCCCATGGGGTTCTGTTGTCCTTGGTAGTGCTGTCCACCACCACCAGGAGGCATGTTATACTGCTGGGAGGGAGGCTGCTGGTGCATCATGGGGCCTGTGACACAGAAGTGAGACTTAAAGCTCAACAGTTAAAAAGTAGGGCTGTCCAAATTACAACTTTAATTGGTTTGTGAAACAAATCAGACTGTCAAAATGCAAAGGTATGATTAAAATTAATCAAGTCTCTAAGGATACATACTTTTTTATATTTCCTTTGACATCTTTACTTTTTCTAATTACTTAAGCCAGATTAATCACACAAAAAACATAAATATCGAGTCAGAAACATTCATCAGTAAATAGTTAAATACATATAAAATCACAAAAAAAGTCAATGTTTCCTAAATGAACACAGATTCATTTACATTCACAACATGGCTTCAACCAGTGTATAGTTTCTGTGGATGATGAGATCAAGCAGGTAGGAAGAACATTTACACAGGTGTTTGTTTTACCTTGGTTGGGCTGCATGTTCATGTTTGGCCTTGGACCGTAGTTTCCCATAGGTTGACCTTGGGTCATGTTCATTTGGCTCTGAGCTGGCATGCCTTGGGAGGAAGGAACAGTGTGATTGTAGCCGCCCATCGAGCCATGACTGCTGGGGGGTATATTCATAGAACCACTGGGCATATTTGGTGGCTGGTTAGGGCCTGGACCCGGTCCTTGCATGGGCATGTGATTAGGCCCTGAGATTAGAGAAGACAACATTCTTAACCTTTTTTTTTTTTTTTTTACTTTTATTGCCTGACGTGTCTCATGTCCTGCAGTATAGACGACGGCAATGTAGGACATGAAATTCCCCAAAAATACATAATAAAGCAAAAACAAAACATCAAAATGATGATATCTTAAAAGGGAGAATACAACTATAAAGAGTCTGAGACCACCAGAGCTGACACACTGGTGACATCATCCTTCAGCAAACAACCTTCCTCAGTTCCATGGTGTTGCTAAGCAACCCAAGTGATACAGGGA